AGACTATACACTGCTGGTTTCCTGTTTTAACAGGACCCAACTGAAAGGCTTCCTGGCTAGGCTCCATGTCTGGACCATGAACTAATGGTTATGTACACCCTAGAATAAGGACGCATACATAGGTAGAGCAACTCTGACTTAGTTTAACTGGTTCAAAAGACTATGTTGGCATTAAATTTTCGCATAAGTTAAAGTTTACATCATGGTAGCTTAAGGCAATAGGAGCAGTTAAGATAATTTGATATGAGTAGTGAAGAGTTAGCCATGTTCGTCAGTTGGGCAGAAGGCAGGGAAGGGTAGGACAGCAAGACTAACAGCTTCTGCCTCACAGAAGAGCATCTACACTGTGCTTTGCCCCCATCTAACTGTCATAAATATATATGCAGAGAAGGCCTGAGAACCAAAACGAGACCCTGACTCTGATCCTATGATTTTTGCTCTGATGAGCTAGTCCTTATTCACTCAAGTCAAGTCATCTTATTTATTTCAATAGGATTACTGCTTTAAGAACCACCTGTAAGGTTTATAAGAGCTCCCCATTCAGATTATATATATTGATTTACCTGTCCCCCACTTCTTATCTATCAACATATGAAAAATTCAAACTATTGTTGCATCATATCACAGGCTAAAAAATTCGCAGATCATGGAAGATCAACCCTGACTACTTCATAAAATGTTGTCCTCAATGCTTGAAAGTTGCCAAATATTCAGCCAAAGTATGGTTAAAAGTATTTTGGGGGTTTTTTTGTTTGTTTTTTTTTATAACAGACTAGAGGGATAAATCTGATGGGAAATAAAAATTGATTGTGACTAGTTTTGCATAATAATGAGTGTATAACTACTACTTGGAAGTATGGACCGAAGCAGAGGAGCTGACAAAAAATGAGGTACGGCAGAGTAGGATTTATACTCAGGAAAAAAACTGAATGATGTTAAAGCAAATGTATGTGTAGGCTGCATATCAGAGAAAGATATCCTAATATATTGCAGAAGACTTTCACAAGAAAAGCAGTTGCAGCCAACTGTTGTTCAAAGTGTCCTGCACAGAACTGCCTCCCTTCTGCAGAAGTAGACTAAATCACCTCCAGCACACACTCCCCACTTTTATGCAAGTATCTTTAGCTCGGTTTTTATACAGTTATAGTTAGATTGGAGAATTTGCAGTCTAAGCCTACCCCCCACCCCCAACTGTAATTGACTGCATACAAATGAGCAGTCTCAAAGAACATATGCCTTTATTTTGGCCATTATCTTTGCAAGATTAGGTCCTAAATTGTGTAAGTGACAAATTAAAGGGAAGTTTATAAATATCAGACTGGTCCCATCAACTGAAGACCAATTACCATTACCATCATTTATCAACTAAATTCTTACCATTCACTGAAAAATTTAACGTAGTACTGTACATGCAAGTTCAAAAAAGAAAGAGATTGTAGTTAAAATCTTATGTGAATTTGGGGGGGGGGGCGGTATAAGCAGCTTAAATAGTTTGCATAATGAATCAGGTCTAACAAAGGAGCTATGGGAATGTGAGGGAATTTCCAAAACAAGGAATTGAAAGTTTTCCTTATCCCTTGAATGTACTTTTCACAAGTGGAGGAACCAGTTTTCTTCCCTGTGCTTTTCACAGCTTGAACTTTCAGAAAACAGTCACACTTGGTTATTCTGTAGAAAACAGATATAAAAATCCCTACAGAAAACAAATACCCCCCCCCCGGGGGGAGGGAGTATTTTTAAGAGTACAAGAAAGAAATATGAAACAAGGTCATGCTTTGAAAGTTCATGAATGGAGTCTTGAGTGCCAGGCCACAAATCCAAACTGCAAGTCCAGCCTTTAATAAAAAAAGCCCCTTTGTAAACACCTTTTAGACGTTTTTAAAAGTTTCCATTCCTTTGTAAGCTTCTCAACTTCTAATGTCTGCCACATGAATTCTAAACCCACGGTCTCAAAAGTTCTCCTTCCACCATGTCACCTTTCATTGTTTCCATTGTTTCAGAAACAGAACTCCCAATTCACAGGGCAGATCACACACACACATGCACACATATTTGGTAACTTCATCAGCTTTTTTCCACACACATGTATTTGGGAGGTGGTGAGAATAACCAGTTGGAAAGTGTACAAAGTTTGGTATTTAAACAACCAGTAGCTGCCCTCAGGGAGAGGAGTATGAACAATGGAAGCAACAGCAGACAGGAAACCAACTCACCACTACTGTGCAAATAGGGAGCAAAGGAATGTTCTAAAAATAACTAGTCTAAATAATTCAGTTAAACCATATAAAACCACTTTCAATAACGTTAAGACTCTGAACAAACCTCCGATGGCTGAGAAATTTGGAGTCCCATGCTATAACTCTCTGGGAATACAGGGCTGGGTTTGGTATGCAGCACATGTTATCTAAGATACCATTCCAGTCGGAAGACTAAAATATTTCAGCAAGGGAGGCTGGCTCATAAAAACACCAAGTTTCAATTTGAATTCTTAAGTCCTTGCTTTTTGAGAGTTAAAAAAAGAAAAGATCACGAGTGTTCCTTCAACTTAGCATTTATGTTTTAATGTCCTTCATATGTTTTGTTTCCAATCAATGGAGTGCAAGACTTTTCATGACTGCCAAAAATACATTATGAGAGCACACATCTGAAATTGTATAGCTAGCATTCAGAAGATGCTTCAAGATGTGTATAAATGTAGGTGCCGAGAGCCGCGGGAACATTAACAATGGAGCAGATATCTGTACTTTGGATCCACGAGAAGGTGTAGTTAAAAAAAAAAAAAAAAAGTATAGTGAACATGCGCAGTGCTGTCTCTCTCAACTCACTCTTGGCTGTTTTAATGGTCTTTAAATACAAAAAAACAAAACAAAACCCAAACAATCAACTAACAAACCAAACAAACCCAAAACTTTTACTTCCTTTCTGGAGTGTGTGAACCTACAACTGAAAAAATAAAGTTCATAGGAAACAAATATGTTAAAAGGCTGTCCTTAAATGTACTCAAAATTGTATCTTTATAACAAAATTGTGTTTTGAAGGCACTCCAGCGATTACATGCAAAGTGACGATCTGTTCGCTATAACATCTGTCTAATTTCATCTCCTGAAAACTTTTCCGAGCATGTTTACCACTCTCTCCCACCCCCTCCTAGTTGTGGAAACTTTTATATCACTTTTAGGCTATAAAACAAAAAAACAGAAACGACTAAAAACAATCAGAACAGGGACTTTTGCCAAAAGGGGAGAGAGAAATCAGATTTTTTAAGAACTAAAGATTAAAAAACCACCCAAAGCCTGACTTGCAATTCCCTTCCAAGCCCTACGTCTCCCATGCTCACTCTCAAACAAAGAGTTGAGGGAGCCTCCTTGCCTGCCCCTTGTCCCGAGACTTGGCTTTGGCTTTTCCGGGGAAAGCTGGGGAAAAGGATCAAAGAGCCTCGTCCTTGGTGACCTGCCTGGAACCATCTTAGCGGGGCAGGAGAGAGGGGTCGGTTTGAAGGGAAGGGAGAAGGACGGCGACGGGCAGGAGGCTGGTGCGCACACAAAGCGGGAGCCCAACATGTTTCTTGACAGCGAGCCAGCGGCATGGAGGGAAGCTGCGGCCAAAACAACAGCCCCGCATGTTTTGTCTGGAAGCGAAACATCATCCGCTACCATTGCGGGCAGCGGCTCCGGAGAGCGGCAGTGGGACAAAGACAAAGAAGAGAGGACGGAAAGTGCGCGCGGGGGACAGCGAAGTAAACTCCGCCGAGAAGTTTTAAACCCCCGGCAGAGCACGAGGCGCAGGGACGAGGCGGCCGCGCTCACCTACCTCGCTTCGTTTTCATCTTGAGCTCGGGGCGCCGCAGCGCGGGAACCCTCCAGCTCCAGGCAGCCGCCACCAGCCAGCCAAGCCGCCGCCTCCCCGAGCCCCTGGGCAGGAAGGTGAGGGGCAGCGATCGCACCCCCCAGCGCCGCGTGCCCTGCGCCGCCGCCGCCGGCCCGCAGCTCTGCCCCCGCCCCCCTTTTCTTTGTGATGCGTCTGGCTGGGAGCCCCCTTCCTCCTCCTCCTCCGCCCCGCGCCAAGCCGGAGTGAGACGCGGCACCAGGGAAGCGGCGACACGAGGTCTGCC